GTAAATAGCTGTTACAACAAGGATTAAGGACAAGGAAGTTTGCACAGGTTCAGTACAGATGGACCTGTTGAAGGTTTAACTAGATAGTGCATGCCAGCAACAGTGTAACATTCTCCCCCGCCCCCCAGAATGCTTTCCATCTGGGGCTGGTAGGAGCCACAGTGTGGAACCCATAGGTACACAGGACTAGGTGTGTATGCTGAAAGAGTCACAAAGCTGTCACAGATGGATCTGAAGAGAAAGTGCTGAGACCTTGCAGAGAGTCAACCAATCACACACACAATCTCACATCCATTCAGAATCCCATCACCTAGCTTTCCCTAAATTCAGCTACTCAGGTTGAAAACTGTTCAGGGAAGACTTGGGAGAACGTTTTCTGCAAACTGAGCCTGTCCTTCAGGGGAGTTACCACAGCACTGTAATGGTGCTGAGCCAGGGTGTGACCAGGATGGCTTTGTCTCTGAGAAAATGGGTGTGTGTGCCCTGGAGAATTTTCAGACAACACAAACAGTCTATGATGTTTCTCCACTCAGTGTGTACAGTTCTGTCTTTTCCATGTGGAGTCAGTGGACCCTCTTCTGTCATGCTCTTGGCCACTACTGTGACAAGATCATCTGACAAAACTCACCTTACCTCAGCTTATTAGACTGATTTACCACACTTAGGTTCAGGTTGCAAGGCAAGCTCAGCATGCCCAGTCTTTGGTGAGGTATCTGCCTAAACACGCCAGAGAAAACCTTATACTTTCATTTCTATGACTTCAATATCAGAAGGAATGATTAGTCAAAACATAATACATCTGTGGGGCACTCTGGGAAGCTGAGGCAGGAGTATTCCAGTTTGAGTATTACGTAGGCTATTTAGTGACATAGTGAGACCCTGTCTCAAAATAAAAATTAAAAAGGATTAGGGATGTAGTTTAGGGTTTAATCCCACATTACAACCAACTATCCAACAAACAAACTACCCATGTAAAATCATATCAGGAGCTGTGATGCAATAAAAATCTATTCAGTCTTTGCCCTTGGTTCTTGACAGAGAGCTCCCACAACCTTTGGGATTTCCTCAGTCATAGGAGCATCTTTAGGATTCCCAGGATACCCTCTGCCTTGGGCTCAATAATTTGTTAGAATGGCTCACAGAACTCAGAGAAATGCTTTGCTTACATTTGCTCGTTTGTTATAAGGTGTGTGTCGTAAAAGAGAAGGATGAGCACTCAGAAGATGAAATATATAAAGTAAAATCCAAAAAGGTCAAGAGCAGAATCTTCTTTCTTGAGGGGTTGGGGTGCTCCACCCTCCTCCAATGGTGCATTTACCAGTTTGGCAAATTGGATAGTCTGTGAGGTTTTAGAGTTTTACTCAAGACCCTCACACCCACCCAGCAGGGGTCAGTGGATGGACTGAAAGCCAAAGCCTCTTTATTGCTGGGCCTTTCCGGTGACTGTCCTCACCTTGAGCTGTCTAGGGCCCTAATTTAAATCACCTTATTAGCATAAGATAAACGCAAGTATAATCCTGTTCCACCGAGTACCTGAGCAATGCTCATCCGATGAGTCAGGGTCATAAAAGACTGAGAGATGAGAAAAAGAGACTGAAGGAGCCTAGAGAGACTCAACAATTCAATGGTATATGCTATCCTGGACTAGATCCTAGAAAAGGGGCCAGAGTGGAGAAAAAGACTTTGGAGCACATTACTAATATTAACATCTTAGTCTTGATAAGTGGAGTATGGCATGAAAGCTGTTAACATCCAAGGAAGCACACCGACGCATGTATAGGAACTCTCTGCACCATCTTTGGAATTCTCCTATAAACCTTCTGTAGAGGTACCGCTCTTCCGTCAAATTCGTATAAAATAAGAAAATTTGAAAGTGAATGCCCATAATACATTCTTTTACTATTATCATGATGAACTAAGACCATATATAACCGGACAAAAATACATACCCATCGTACACATGGGGAGATGTACACTTCTGCAAGTTCAGACCTCGTGAAGTATGGCAGTCTTGTGTGACCAAGCCCTTAACTCGCAGTATCTGATGGCAACCAGCTCCAGGCACACGGAATCAGAACTGCATGAAACTGTAGGACACTCAGCTCGTGTCCGGAGTTGGGGGATCTGCTTCATGTGCAAAAGCCCCACATGTTCACTCACAGAAGCAATGTGTTCCATACGGTGATATAATGTGCTCAAGCAGTGTAGGGCAAGATTGCTCTGGAGCAATCTCTGGGTGTTTCTGGGTGCAGGTCTCAGGGTCCACACCAGGGGGAATTCAGCACAGGGTATGAATGCTCCCTCTGCCAGGCTGCCCTAAGCCTCTCCTCCTATGGACTCTGCCAGTGTCCTGTTCTAAGACCCCACTGTCTCCTCACTGCAATCACCGCATTTTCCTGTCACCTCACCCACTCATGTCTCCTTCCTAAACATTTGCCACCCAGAAGTCACAGGATCTTTTCAGACTACAGACTTGAATCACTGTCACGCCCTCTCCATGAAACTTTTCAGAGGTGTCCCATGCTCTCAGGATATTTAGCAACACATAATAGCAAAGATGATACTAAGAATGTCAAACTTACATACAGCTTCTTATATACAAGATACTAAAATTACATACGCAATTGAACTTCATAATTGTGAATTCTATATTTGTGAATACACTCAGTTGATCAGACTTATCTGTCTCCCCAAATCAGTACTCATGATGCTTGTGTGGTCCTTCTTGAATGTACACAGCTTCTTATATACAAGATACTAAAATTACATACGCAATTGAACTTCATAATTGTGAATTCTATATTTGTGAATACACTCAGTTGATCAGACTTATCTGTCTCCCCAAATCAGTACTCATGATGCTTGTGTGGTCCTTCTTGAATGTACAGAATAGTAAAAACTGAGTCATCTGAAGTACATGTTTCTACCTAAGCTCAAACAGGGCAACTGTCGGCCTCCTTGTTTTAGCTCTTATACTCTAATTGTCTTTTTGTGATCTATTTAGTGCCAGCGTTTTGTATATTTTCTCCCTCTCTCTTTCCTTCCTTTTTCCCCTCCTTTTTTTTTTTTTCCTTTTTTGGTGATTTCACTGTTTCAGGAGTCCTAAGCCTAGTGCTAAAGTGCCATCTAGAGGTCATAAGTGTAGGGAGGCTGCATGGTGCTTTGCAGAGAAAATATGAGTCTTAGATAGCTTCAATCAGGTGTGAGATATGGTTTTGTTAGCTCTGACCTCGATGTCAGTGAATTAACAACATATTTTTAAATGAGGTTCCTGAAACAGAAACACACATACAGTGAAGGTGTGCACTGATTGGCTATGAAAATGTTATGACATGAAAGATTTCCAGGAACCTATGCCTATAATTCCTTTGGGACCAGTGGTTCCCTATTCACTGGCAAATTGTTTGAGGCAACTTTAGAACATAACCATAATGAGTTGTGAGCGCTGACTGCAGTAACTCATTTAAAACTTATAAGAATCTTATAAAATGAACAAGGTTTTCTTTATAGCACATACAACCCTCCAGCATATTGTCTCATTTTTATTCACAGCCATACTGGCCTTCTTTTAAATCTTTAAACTTAAGTGTCTTTCTAGAACAGGACAGATAACTATATCAAGGGCCACCCTCATTTTCATTAAAAACATCAATACAGAAAATAAAAGGCATCTCTCTGCCAGAAAAAGGATCAAGGACTTGTCACTGGCTACTTCTTTTGCCTTCCAACCTCAGTTTCAAGGCCTACTATCCTGCTCCCATGTTACTGTTCATCTTGGCTTCTTAATATCCCTTCAAAAGTTTATTTATTAACTATTAATTAATGTGAATCCTGGGGGCCAAAGACACTAATGCAGTTAGAAAGAAGAGGGGAAGAAGAACCAGAGCCAGTAACTTGGCATCCTGGCACATGAGAAACTTGGAGTGTGGAGAGATGGTGCTCTGTATCGTAACAGTGTTTCCTGTTTGAAGTTGATGCCGTGGTACGTAGATGTAGATGGAAGGAGATGGAAATATAGGTGAGAATGACTAAGTGCAGAAAGTCAAGAAGGCTTTGAGCCTGGGGTGCTGAATGATACGGAGTAGCTGGTAATGCCCTAGCTGTAGCAATAAGTAGAGGAAAGGGCAGAATAGGCAGATGACATTGAGCTCCCAGAGGAAGAAGAGGCTCTGCAGGAAGGAGGCAGCTGGAGGATACAAGGATAATGGATAACAGGAAACAGGAATGTATGAAGGAAACAAGGATAATGTGTCCACTGCCTTTGAGATATGCCTGGGGTTGGGGGTGGGCTAGATCCACTGGAGTAAAACATGTAGAAGATGAACATGATGAAGGTGTTGGGAAAAACCAGAGAGAAATAAATGGAAGGAAAGTCTGTAATTCCATGACCTGGTTCCTACACTTGAGAATACACTGGAGTCACCCAGAAGGGTGGACATCATGGCCACAGCTTCTGATTAAGTAGGTCCAGGACGAAAACAGAGAAGCTGCATTTCTAACATGTTCCTGCAGGGGCTGGTGCTGCTGCTCCCAGGATGAGAGCTACGGTTTGGTTCTGGAGCACAGGTCCCACTGCAGAGCACCCCAAATGCCTGAGGGACAGAATGACTGAAGCCTTCAGCACGAAGATCTGGACAGGCCATCACCCCCGACACACAGGTGATATATATATATATATTTTTTGTTGTTTTTGTTTTTGGTTTTTTTTTTTTTTTGGTATGAGGGATCCAACTCAGGACCTTGCACTTGTGAGGCAGTTGGAGGCCCTTCCCCACAGGTTTTAGAATCATCTCTTCCAACAACAAAAGTAAAAAGAAAAGTGCATATGTCTACATAAGCCTGGATAAGCCAAGAAGAGATTTCAAGAATTGCTCTGTCTACTGGTTCTGTCCAATGTTTTAGATGATAGCAACTATCACAAATGGATAGAAAATTTAATGGAAAGTGGAAAAGTGCAAACAGACTTTTTCTCCAAAGCATAGAAAAAGAATGTAGCTTACCTGTTGAGGAGATTGTCCATTAGGTTTCTCTCATAGTTCAATTTCTCTTCCTGCAATGATAAAACATTGAGAATTGAGGTCTGCATGTTACCTACTTCTCACAGCCAGGCTACATTGGGAAGGTGAGGGAAGACAGCATTATTTTGTGAGGTGCTGGGCTGGATGTGGGACATAGAGGCCCTGGCCCAGAACTGTGAGCCAGGCAGACAAGAGGTTTGAAATTTGTTAGGCCTGACTTGGTGGCCCAGCTCTTAACATTTAGCAACTAATTAACAAATAAGCAACATTTTAGTGCTCCATTCATAAAACAAGATTGGAATGAGATTTAAATGGCACAATGTGTAAGCTGTTTATCACTTGTTGGAATTGTGCAGTAACCCAAAGCTCTCTACTATGGTCTGCATATGTGTGTGTGTGTGTGTGTGTGTGTGTGTGTGTGTGTGTGTGTCCCCATAAAACTCCTATGTTGAAACCTAATTCTCAGTGTGATAGCACTAGAAGGGGGAAACTTTGGGAAGTGATGAGATCATGAAGAAAGAGTCCTCATGAATGGGATTGATACCCTTACAAAAGAGACAACAGAGAGATCCTTTAGTCCTTAGGTCACATGATTCGGCCCTTCTCAGAAAACAAATTTGTTAGTGCCTTGATCTTGGATTTTCCAGACTCAGAACTGTGAGAATTCTACCCTGTTGTTTATAAACCATCCACTAAGCTAGGTGTGGTAGCATATGAGTTTTATCTCAGCACACATGGGAGGTTGAGGCAAGAGGATTGGAAGTTTCAACCCAGCCTGTTCAATATAACAACTTAGCAAGTCTGTCTCAAAAGTAAAAAAAGCGGGGGCTATGGCTCAGTGCCTAAACCTTGGCTTCAAACTCTAGTACCACTAAAACCAGCCAACCAACCAACCAATTCACCAAACAAGCAAAAACACGTATCTGTGGCACTTTGTAACAGTAGTCTGAAAAACTAAGATACTGTAGCTATTAATGTAAGATACTCTAGTTGTTAATAGTGTTGATAAATACTATATTACTGAGTGCCTCTTTACTGATACAGATAGTTTCAACTAAGCAAAGCAAGAGAAATATTAAGGAATCTGCTCCTTTGGGACATATTAAGCATAGTTTCAATAAGTAAATGTGTAATCATTCAATAAGATATATAACTTTGAAAATCTCTGCTTATAGTGAAAACAATGTGAAGCACCTAGGATGAAGCAAATATTCAGATTTTTAGCAATTTTTCAATGATTATTAGAGTATTTTATATAAACACAAGTTTTTTTTCCCTGAGAAATGCTCTAATCCCAAATACACTGGATACTGAGATAATAAATGTGACCTCAAATTTGCCATCCAATACTGGAATGAATTTTTGTTAGCCACATCTTTTCACTTAGCATTTTTTGTTGTTATTTAACAACTTCCTCAAATCTAAAACATTGCTCAAATGTCACATAATTCTACTGTATTATTCTTAATTTTTTTTACCATCGAACTCACATTCAGTACATATATTTGTTGGCAATCAGGACATGAGAAATGATTTCATGCCCATAGGGAGGCAATTATCTAGCTGGAAAGGCAGTAAGAAGAGCTGACAAATAATTAAAATATTATGCAGATAATGAAATGAAGAGGAAACAATCCAATAAAATCCTAAGGAGGTTCAGTCCTGAGAGACTGCAGTACGAGCAGCTCTGAGCGCATTCTGAGATTAGCAGCGGAGAGACGAGAGGAACAGGGGCAGATGGGAGACTCATCACGGCTAGCTACCTTTCAGGCAGAGGAGGGATTGTGACATAGAAGAGGCAGTAAAGGATGGACTATTATTTATTTAGCCAACAAACAACTCTGAACCCCTACTTTATGACAAGCCCTGTGAGAGATACCAGGAAGTGCAGACAAGGGGATGCTGTGTGAGGTGCCAGCGAGGAATGACAGCCTTGTGCGCTGCTCTGGATTCTTGGTGTTCAGGGAGCAAAGCAGTGAGGAGACGAAAGAGAAATGATGAGTTACTTGAAGGAGAGCAGAGGAAAGAAAATAGAACCACAGGGTGGACACCTGCATGAAGGTCCAAAAGGTTCTGGGCAAATGAAACGGAGCAGGAAAAGGTCTTTGAGAGGAGGAACCAGCACCAGGGAATCAACGTTGCACAGAGAAGAGGAGTAATTTTTACACCTGGACCCTTCTTATCCCTTCAGTTATCCTGTATCCCTGTAGAACAAATTTGAAATGTACCTCTGTGGCCATCCCTTTGTCTCCTCACATCAGACTCTACTTGCCTATCAGAGATGCAGCATTTCTGACAAGACCTCAGCAGTCAGCCTTGGCAGGCCTACAACTTCAAGGAAGACACAGAGGGTTCAACGTTGGTGACTTATCCAAGGTCACATAAGGGTTCAGTTGTGAGGAAAAAGGATGTGTTTCCTGGTTTCCTATCTCAGATGAATCGATTCTTTCACATAACTGTTGTCATTGTTTTGCGTGAAGTACTACACTGATAGAAGCTACTCTTAGATGTCTCCACATGTGATGAGAAGTCATCAAGCTGAGCAGGGTGCTTGGGACTGAGAGTATACAAGGGAGCAGATCTCACTCCTTGCCCCTCCATGGAACGTATCATATGGTTGGAAGACAGGTATTGGGGTGGCCAGTGATAGGTGCTTCATCGGTCTGGATATGGTTATCTGGAGTTACAACTATACTTCCACTTAGAGAGACGAACATTTCAACTAATATTCAAAACCTGAGACAGAGGCGACCTTGCCAACAACAGGTCTCGTCAAGTCACTCCCCAGGGAGGAAGCTTTAAGTGGTTCTTCAAGGACTGCCGAGGCTTTCAGGTCTTCACATGGACACTCAAGGCCTTCCCCAACAAGGCACATAGGGCTTGCCTAGGTGACCTCTGAAATGCTAGGCAATTCTACCATCAGCCAATCTGAATTATTTGCTGCTCTTTAAGCATGCCAGTGCTCTCCTGTTTCTATGCTTCTGTACATATTATTTCTCCCAGGTGGCATGCCTTCATGTCTGTGAATAATTACAAATTTCTACTTATCTTTCAAAACTTGTTTCACCCAGCACTTCTTCCAGGAATAATTTTTAAAACCTCCAATCTCCTCTCTCTCCTTTGATTGGAAGCAGCCTGGCAGATTGTCCCTGAAATAAAGACTTGTAGTAGTTCTGGTTTGGTCTTGGTTTTCAGCCTTTTTCACCTGACATATCTGGTGCTGAGACCCAGGAGAAAGGTGGTCCATTAAGCAATGATCCCCCTCAGAATTGGGTCAATTGACTTTTCATCTGTCTACTCCAGACCACATCTGTCTAGCCAAGACCTCATCAGGGATCTTTGTCTGTGCCCTTGCTGACAATACACATCCATACTGGGCACTGATTACAGGGTGAGTAGGCAGTTCAGCTTCCCTCTACTCAGTCCTCTGTCCCATTCTTGTTCTCTCCGTCTGGGGATTTCTCAGAAATCCAAGCGCTTGGTCAGAGAAACCCTCTTGGGTCACTGGGCCCAGGACGGTGCCCTGGGGAATGCCCCATTGGCCCAATTCCTCTCACTCTCCCCTTCCAGGGACTGGCTGGGAAGGATCAAAAGATACAAAAACAGTCCTCCTCTCTTTTGCCCTCCTCCTAGGGAGCTAACTCCTCCTCACCTGCCCTAACATGGACACCCAACAATCCTAACCCTCTCCCCCAATGCCTCTTGGCTGCCTCCTGGCACAATTTGTTCCCTTGGACTGTTGGGACCTGACTTTAAGCAAAAATGATTCACTTTTTATTGCAACCAAGTTTGGCCTCCGTACAAATTAGAGAGTGAATCTCAATGGCCAGAAAATGGCACTCTTGATTTTAACATATTTCATGATTTGTGCAACTTTTATCAACGCAATGACAAATGGTCAGAAATCCCCTATATACAAGCCTTCTTTTACCTACCCCTTCACCCCTCCCTCCATCAAACCTATTTGACCTCTCAGGTACTTGTAGCCCAAACTCCGTCCTCTACCCCTCCCGACTCTCACCTTCCATCTGGCCATCACTCACCACTCACACCTCCCCACCCTATTAATCAGCCTGCTCTTCCATCTCCTCCAGTGCTTCTTCACCTCCACCATCTTGTGACCCTTCCTCACCTCCGCCATCTTGTGACCCTTCCTCACCTCTTCCATCTTGTGTCTCTCCACCACACACCTGCTCTCTCCTTGCCTCTCCAGTCCCTCCCGAATAGGAGAGTGAGTTAACAACCACTTCTCTGCTTGCTCTTCCTTCCCCAGCTTCCTTGGAAGAGAGAGGAAAGACTGCAAATAAAGGAAAATCCTCTCCTGGCCCTGCCTATTTACATATCAACAAGTTATTTGGCAGGCTACATTACCAAGAAATTCCATGGGGCCCTACTGTTTTCTACATAAATATTGGAAAATAAAATATAAGGCTTTAAAACAATTCAAAGAAAATGTAATGCTTAAGATAGGAGCTCAAAGACCAAATGATAGGTTACAGCCCAGTGCCGGCTACAGACTGCTGGCTCCATAGTAAAATCAGCTGCAATGTCCTGCCAGGCAGGAAAAAAAAATTTTTAATTATAAATTCTGCCTAATTGACGAATGTACCTTTTGTCTTCAACTTAAAATAATGTTTGATTGGTGTTTGGTTTCCAGGTGTTTAATTGATGTATTTAAAATATTTCTTTTACATTGCAATTTCTTAAATAGTAATTATGGGGTTTTGTTGTTTTTTTGGTACTGGGAATTGAACTCGGGAACTTGCGAAGCAGGCGATGAAACCACTGTAAATGGTAATTATGGATTAACCTGACCTTCTCTCTACTTTCTGCTTACAGACTTCTGACAATAACTACAACACAAGATTATGCTACTGTTATAAAGCACTTTTACTTCTTCTGATTCTAACTGCAAGAGATCTCTGTTAATTGACCTGTAAAAGTTTTGATTTGTCTTAATTAAAATAGATGTTATGGGCAGAGACTTAGTTCAGTGCTTCTGCCGCCTGCCTCACAAAAGCAAGGTCCCAAGTTCAATCCCTGGTACCAAAAAAAAAAAGTAAAACAGTTGCTATAATTCAATTGACAAATATATTCGAGTGCACTCTAGTTTCATAAAATGTCTGTCTGTCCAATTGTTTGAAAGTTTTGTCCAATTATATTTTTTGATCAAAATGACATCAAAGATACAAACAAATCATTAATTTCTACAACCTGGTTTTACAGGTTAAATAAAAAATTGTCAAGATAATTAAATATAAA